AAAAAACATTGAGACATATTAACCAATCAATTAACGTAGGATTGCATGTGGTGTGTATGTTTGTTACATAATGAAAAAACTCACCAAAGGAGAAGAAATTCAAGAAATGTTAATAACAAGACAATTGAACGAGTTCCGAGCTGAAATGATTTCACTATTCCTCAACCATCCAAATTCTTGGAGTGAAGAAGATCTAAAAATATGGCAAAAATTGAAGAAATTATATGAGGACAAATGACAAAGTTTTGCATATGTATTTTAAAGTTGAACATTAGTGGACCATAAGTCATAGATTTAGATATTCTGTTACACTTTTTAAGTATGTGGTGAATGTTAATTATCCAGATTGTTCAGGGATGCATGTGTGTCTGCCATATTAATTCATTGTGGGTGCATAACTGTGTGTATCTCCTAACTGTTGACTATGTGTCACCCACAGTATAACAAAAACAGTGTAACATAATAGTGTATTTCCTAAGCAAAACCATATGCATGTACAAGGTTTCCAACTGTGTATCACTATGTAATAATGATTGTCATGAATGAATCATGTGAACCTATTTCCAAATAAAATCACATGGATCAAATATAATGGAAAATGTTTCATGGACAGTGTGAGTTGCGTACAGAGTAACTCATCAATGTGAGAACCAACAAACATATAAATTATAAGTAGAAAACGTCAATAACACAAACAACCCCCAGAAAAGAATGTATAAACAAATTGTATTAAACAAAAAGCAATCAATAATGTCATTAAGTGGTAGCATTCTTAAGTTTATAATGGCTCGTTACAAGTTTTCTTGTTGTGACTGCCTAAACGCCCACATGGGCCACAACGAACTCACCTAATGAGTTTCCCCCTCGACCGAATTCTGTAATTTTTTGGTCTACCAAGTTGTTTCTCGGCAGATTGAACGCCTACCTGCGAACTTTTAGGGCAATAAATAGTCAGGATTTGATAAATGGGTTCAGAATATGACTTCTTGTACATGCTCACGTGATAGTAATAATAAAAAAATTCATACATATTTCGCCCACTCTTTTGTATTGCCGAAACAACATGTGAACTAGGGAACCCATTTATCTGTCACTGCAACATGAACACGTGTCATTCATAATATCAATAGACACCGAACGGTATGACATCACTTCGTACTCTGGATTATTTGAAATCTATACAATCCAAGACCTCCTCTTATCAAAAGTAGCTTGTAATTTGGAAGACATTTTGGGGCACAAATTCTCATTCCACTCCGAAGCTATCTTCATCATGCAACCAATTTGATCCATTATCTGTTCTCTAATAGTGTCAACGATGCTTGTAATAGGTAAATGTCAAGCTTTCATAATCTATGTGTTAAACGACTTCACAGCATTAGAACACATCTCACCATAACACTTCCTTCTAAAATAAGCTTTTGTCTAATGCTCAAATGGAAGATTGGATAGGAACTTATCCGCATTAGAACCACATTCACAATGGAAAGATTCAATCTTCTCATTAAAAAGCATTTGTGTTGGTGCATAAGCATACTCACGTAGCAATACAACCATGTGCTCTCAGAATACATTAGAAAATCGACCACCACCCAATTTATCCCTCAAATTAACTTTCAAATGCTGCAAGCAAAATGCATGATAAACACTCAAGAAAAATTTCAACATAGCTTCTAACAAACCGAAGTTACAATTAGATACAAAAATAATAACCCGAGTGTGATTCAATATATTAGACAGTTGTTGCAAAAATCAAAACTTGTTTTGTTTAGTCTCAGAATCAACAACTACAAATGCCAAGGGAAACAAACCTAAAATTCACCACATAAAAGTTGTCAAAAATGAACAGCAAAAAAATATGAAAAAGTATAACATAAAATGCAATAGTGTATCTTAACACTATTAACAATGTTACCATGACAGTGTAACATAACCATTAAATTTTAAAAAGAAACAACTGTATGGGAAGTTTGGTTGCCACCTTTTGCAGTTGCCTACAGAAGATTATCTCTATACTTGTCTTTTAAAAATGTACCATCCAAAAACAGTAGTGGACGACAATAATTAAACCCTTTAATACAACCCTTAAAAGAAACAAACAACCTTTTGATATGTTTTTTCTCACAATCGCAATCTAAAACAATATGGTTGTCTGGATTAGAATGATTTGCGGCATAGACATACCAACGTAGTTTTTGGTACGACAATGAGTGATCCCCAAACAACATATTTTTTTTTTCTTTCTCAACCTCGTCACATGTTTTATCATAGGATATGATAAGTCCATAATTAGAAAAAAAATCAGCAACCACTTTTGTTGGACGTGTTATGGTATGCCCACGAATATGGTCAACAATCAATTTTACAATTAAATTAGAACTCATCATCTTGTTATCTATCATTCGTAGATCTACACCACAATTGTGTTCATTGTACAATTTCTGAACATAAAAAAACCCGTAGCACTCTCAACTATTGCATTGATATACCACCTATAACCAGAAGAATACTTAAATGAACACTCAATAATAACCATTGATTTACAATTCTTTACATAATTAAATTCAAAACTAACCTCAATCAAGTATTTACAAAGTGCTTTCCGAAAATGTAATGCACCATCTTCAAATTTTGTCTTATATGTCATATTTCATTAGTCCACTTAGATGTTAGAAGAATTTTCTCATTGTGACAAATAAAACTAGGTAACAAATGTACTTCACAATCAACATCATCATGTATGTTCACATCATGCAAATAATTATTATCACCCAATGAACCTCTCTCAGCATCTTCCACAAACACGTTAACGTTAACTTAATTTCCCAAGAAACTCCATTTGAATTCAATCATATTCTTTAAATCTGTGTCATTGCCTACCATGCAAGTGGGGTAACCACGTATAGAATATAACAATTAGACCGAAAAATTTAACAAGTAATCCCAAATTTTGCAAACTCCACAAATAGGGGTGTCCATGGGCCGGGTTACCCACAAATCCCGTTACCCCGCCCGTAAAAAATAGGCTTGAAATCTGATAGGCCCGATAATTGGCTCGTCCGACCCCAATATCCTTAAAAAGAGGGTTTGGATTTGCCCCCAAACCCATTACTCGACTCAATAGCTCGCCTGAAAAAAAACTCGTTAAAACTCAGCCCAAAAGCCCGCCTGCTCACCATTCATTTGAAAAAAAGTTATACTTTTGGACCATTAAATTTGAATCTTTGAAATAAGTCTTCTAATGTCAGAATTTGAAGTTTCAAAAATTTAGATATTATAAATAATATATTATTTTCTTTTTCATGCATTAAACATACAAGTTTTAAAGGGTAGAGTAATGTAAATAATAAATAAGTGAGTAGGTGTCAACATAGTTGGAATGTATTCATTTTATTGAATGTAGTTCATCCTCTAATCAAAATTAAAATTATTTATTATTTTATTTTTATCTATTTTGACTCTACTTTTGATTTAAAAATATGATTTATACAAATATTAAGTTACAAAAATATTTATTATTTTTAAATAAAATTGCATATAAAAAAGCTCGCAAGTAAGCCCGCGCCAATATACTCGCGGGTTTGGCTGTTGCTAGCCTATCCCCACCTAAAGCCCGACTCGGCCCGGCCAGACCCATAACTCACTTGGATAAGGGTTTGGACCTACACTACCTAAGCCCCCTCGAAAAAAAATTTGCGAGCCTAACCCATGGACACCCTTATCCACAAACAAGTTTTGATATATTTGAACTAATAGATACTTTAAAGACTAAAGTAGCATTACCATATCTACATAAAAGCAACATCATTTCCTCTATTGCAAACACCTTTTAATTATTAAAACTGTATATACAATGACACAAAAAATAAAAACATATATACAAAGATACACAAAATAAAAACATGAATTTTTTACTACATGAACAAAATTACAAATTCAACCAAACAAGACATTTTTGCATACCGAGAAAACCAAGAAAATGCAATAGAAAACATGATGTAAATTGGTAAAAATATCCTATATGGTGTTTTGTAGATAAACTGTGAACAATGTGAAAAAAAATTAGTGATAAAGGTTGTGCTTCGGTGGGCAATATAAAAAAAATATTATGTCTCACAACAACAACAATTGTAGTGTTTTCGAATGAGATAAATAACTATAAAAAAAATAGAATAATCGCTATTAAAATAATCGATAAAGATCTAATAATATCATGAATTCAAACCTGATATTTCTGATATTGAATAATAAAGATGAATTTATGTTTCAGCTTTGCACTGATAATGACTTCAACACCAATGAAGATGACCAACGATAATGTGGTAAAATTTAAAATTCAAAATGTATGGTTTCCACAAACCAAACGGAAGAATGATCTTCCTTTAAATTTGGACTTTTTCAACGCACAAATAAAAATTGAAAAGAAATGTTCTAAAAAATAATCACCCGATTTAATGAGAGGACACAAATGTCAAAAAATAAATTTTAAATTGTATACTTGGACACAATTAAAATTTAAAATTAAGAACTTAATTACTTAACATAAAAAAAATTATGAATTTTTTTACAATTAAGTCTAATTTTGTATGAGTAATGCTTCCCTGATTAAATTTTAGAACTAAATTTAGAACTCAAATGACATAATAGCGGAATTAAACTTCTTTATTTGATGTCATATCATTTAACTCCCAATAAAAATTTAAACAATATGCAGCTATATTATTTAAACTTTAAATTTGTTCATGAAATTTAGTCGGATAGCATTATAGATTTTGTTTTTATCCAGCGGCCCACGACAAGTCCATCAACGGATGGCATCACTCAAATAAACTTGCTGCCATGGGGTCATACTGACCGACCGACCGTTCAGGTAGTTGGGTACCTTGGAGGCTCACACTTCGGCGACACTCTCACAACTCCTCTCTCTTTCTCTCTCTGTGAACACTGAGCAGAGAGACTTCTTCTTCAATGGGTTGCTGCAGAAACGCACCCTCGTGGCTCACCGCGAGAGCGCCCATTGCCACAAAACCCACCACTACCATGAGCTCAGCCTCAGTCACATTCTTCAAACCCATGGCCATCTTCTTCTGCACCAACGGCCCCATTGATTCTTCCTCATCATCTTCATCATTTGCCGAATCATATCGCCGGCGATGGAGCAATCCCCTGAGACGCAGGAGGTTGGATCAACCCCCGGAAATCGTCCGCCATTGGGTCGAAGCCGAAGCAAATCATTCACTTCCACCTCAAGGTTCATTCAGTCTTTCTATTAGTTTTCTTGATGACAAAACTGTTTTGATGGGTAATTTTGATACCTCATCTACTTTAGTCCGTAAAATTTGAACATTCTCACGGTGGAGAGTTTGCCCAATGCATGCGCAAGAGGGGTTAGCCGGTGATACAAATGCTTACCCTCTCTCAGTTTAACCCTTTAGAGAGATCAGTTCTGAATAAATTCGTCCATGAGACAAGACATACTGTTCCTTTTAATTCCAAGGCGTGTTGGCAAAACACACACAAAAAAAAAAAAAAAAAACTCCCTTGGAATGAGATTAAACTGATGGATTTAGTGTTCAATTTTGCAATTTTTCAAGCAAGAACAGACCAAATAATGTAAATAGAGCTTAATTTAACCAATGTGCTCAATTAAGTTCAGTCTTGCATTCTTTGGGACCTAAGTAACAGATAATATGAACTTCATAGTACTCGTCTTCTTTATTCGTTTGATATGCCGGCAAACAAACCGATGGTTATTCAGCATTGTCAGTTTTTCACGCAAATACACCTTTTTTGGACGCCGAAAGTCTCTGAAACACTTGAGTAAAAGCTGCTTGATTGTTGGCTGATATGAATCTGATTTACTAATTTTACTGACATGGTTTGTGGATGCCCCAGAAAGAGTTATGGTGGTGTCATATAACATTTTGGGAGACAGAAATGCTTTCAAACACAGAGACCTATACCAAAATGTTCCTTCAATTTATATGACATGGGGCTACCGAAAGAGGATTATATGCAAAGAACTCATTGGATGGAATGCTGATATAATCTGTTTGCAAGTAAGCCTTCTTCCTCTCTTTTTATTGAAATTCCATATGTTCTTTAAAAACAGAGGGACAATTAGAGGAAAATAGGTTTAGCAAAATAGAAAAATGAAACTGTTTTTTTCCCAGAACTTGAAGGTGTTTGCAAATTTTGGATAGTTAATGTTGGAGTTATAGCCTAGATTATTAGGATTTCTTTCCCTTTTTTATCCTTCTATGACTTTTATATTTTGCCTAAACCACAAGGATGTTTAGGTCACTTTGTATTATTATTTGGCTATATATACGGGGTCCTACTCTTAATTTGAGTATCCCTTTTACTCACATTTATCTCAAGTTGGTATTAGAGTCAAACCCTAACCCTAGCCCCTGCCCCTCCTCCAAGTTGTAGCCACCAGCCACCACTACCATCACCTCCTTCGCCCAGTAAACAGCCACTGCTCACAGACAACAACCCAAACCAGTGAAACAGCCTGCAACAAAATCAGCCTACCCAGTCCATACCGAAACCATCAAACCAGTGAATCCACAGCGAAACAGCCTGCAACAAAATCAGCCTGTCACTGCCCACCAACAGAGCATACTTTACTGTCCACACCCACCGACAGATCAAACCAACCAAACAGACTCAAACAAACCAGCCCACAACCCAAGTCCCAATAAACCCAGCCCACCAAACCAGCAAACAATAAATTAACCCAACAAACCCAGCTACATCCAAGGGAGAAGAAGCTCTCAGTGTAAATCCGCAGCCATGTCCATTTGCCTGCTATCAGATTGTCCATTCTTTTGAAGCTTTTGTTGTCCACATCATAATAGTCAAGACTCTCTTACTTCTCATCCATCAATATTTCTCCATCCCGTTGATCCAGAGGAATGATCCACTTCATCAGCCCATCATCAAACCCATTCATATCAATGCTATACTCTTTCACCCACACGTGATTCTCATAATCCTTCAACACTCAAATATCCAATAAATTAACCCAATAAACCCAGCCCACTACCCACAGTCCACTGCCCAGTCTAGCCCCAAACCCAACACAATACTCACCCGAGCGAACCAGCAGGGTCACGCTCTTTGTCACAGTTTCGTGTTTTGCTTTGTGTGCCCAATTATTTGAGATCGTAAGACCTTTTAAGAGGGGTTGAATCCTCTTCTCCGTTGATCTGCTTTTGATGCAGTAGATCACTTATTTATCTTTATTGGATTTCTGGGCACCATGACCTAATTATTTGGGAGCTTTCTGGACCTTCTTTATTTGTCGCTACAGTTCGACTAGAGGTTTTTTATTTTCCCTTATTTTGTCCCTCTATTTATCTTAGAGTTGTTTTTCTGTCACGGGTGGCCTAGTATTGTTGATGATCTGACTACTACTGAGGGAGTTGAGACTCTTATCGTTGAGACATATGTTAGTACTTCTATCGGGTATAGGGGTCAACAGCGCTCGGCCCAGCGCCGTCAAGGTATCCCATATCAGCGTAGACATGGGGATTCTCGTCAGTGTGATTTAGGACATCTCAAGGCTGCTTGTTGGAAGCTCCATCCAAAGCTTAAGCCGTCTCCTTGCAGCCGTACTGCTGCCATTGCCGAGGCACCACTACCTACAGTCATTGCTCCTACTACTACTGTTATTGCTTCTCCTTGGTAGAGTGATATAGATGCTATTATTTCTCACTTGGATATACTTAAGTCAGCCCTGACTTCTCAAGGTTCGACTACTACTGTTGCGACTACTACAGGTATACCTCGTGCCTTTCATAGTTGCGCCAGTCCGTCTCCCCTTTGAATGTTGGATTCGGGTGCGAATGGTCATATGACAGGTGAGGCCCATCATTTCATCTCTTTTGACGAGCAGTTACATACTCAAGTTCAGTTAGCAGACGGTATACATGCCCCTATTGTTAGTAGGGGTACAGTCCGCCTCCCAAATGACTTTACATTACGTTCGGTGTTTCATGCGCCAAAGCTAGCCATGAATCTATTATCTATACATCAGTTAGCCAGAGATTTTTACTGTGCAGTTGTGTTATTATCTGATTCGTGTTATTTGCAGGACCTGAGTACCAGGAGGATTATTGTCAGGGACATGAGAGAGATGACTATATTATTTAGGCGATCCACCTCCGGTTTCACCAGTTTCTCCACCTCCACTTTCGTCACCTGCTTTGTCTTTATTTGTTCTAGCTTGTATGTTAGTATTTTACCTAGTACTTGTCATTATGATTTTTCATCACAAACTGTTCAGTTGTGGCATGACCATTTTGGGCATACAAATTTTAAATATTTATGTATGTTATTTCCTACTTTGAGCAAAGCTTGTGTTAGTGATAAACTTGACTGTGTTATATGTTCCCTATCAAAACATGTTTGGACTAGTTATATTCCTCGCATGCACCAGTCACCTAAACCATTTGACCTAATAAACTCTGATATTTGAGGACCCTCTCCTATTACTGCTCTGTCAGGTGCTCGATATTATGTGACATTTATAGATGACTTTACCCGTTTACCCGTTGTACTTGGGTCTACATTTTGCATAGGAAGTCGAATGTACTCCCTGTCATCACTTAATTTCTCCAGATGATTAAAACACAATTCGATGTCATTGTTCGTGCTCTTCGTTCGGATAATGCCAAAGAATATGTATCTGATGCCTTAGTGTCTCACCTTTCTTCTTAGGGTATCCTTCAACAGCTTACTTGTCCATATATTTCTGAGCAAAATGGAGTTGCTGAAAGGAAAAATAGGAATCTGATAGGAATGGTACGTTGTATGCTTAGAGGTATGGGAGTACCAAAATTTACTGGCATTTTGTTGTTTTGATTTTTACCTTTCTGTGTATTCGTACACCAAGTCGTGTTCTTTAACATAGGGCTCCCTTTCAGGTCTTATTCCTTGAGCGGACACTTTTTCCTGTCCCCCTCGTGTTTTTGGCTGCACATGTTTTGTTCAGGATCGGTCTCATACTCATCATAAGCTTGATAATAAAGTGATTCGTTGTGTTTTTGTGTGTTATTATCATCAGTCTAAGGGGTATCGGTGTTATGATCCTGTCAGACGACGTATGCATCACAGTCTAGATGTTACCATCCTTGAGTATATTCCTTATTTTTATGCCAGTCCTGTGTCTGCCCCTCCGTTTGATGATACTCCCTTTGATTTTCCGTTACCACCGGAGCCAGAACCATTGGTCACTATCACTACAGAGCCATCAGTCTCTCCTTCTTCAGAGCCACTCATCCCTGTCAGTACAGAGTCACCAGTCTCTCTTCCTTTGCAGGTTTATGTTCGTCGCCCTTGCTCTCGCTCATCCCGTTGCTGATGTTCCCTCTATCTCAGGCGATGCAGGTAATACTTCACAGTTCGTTGAGCATATTGATGCACCTATTATTAGTACTAATGAGATTGCAGGTACTGAGCCAGTTACTTTACCTGATGAGACATTGTTAGTGGAGGATGATGATTTAGGGTGTCGTTATCCGCGGCGTGATCGCCGTCCAGTTGTTCGTTATGGTTGGACTGTTAGGATTTTATATCCGATCTCTGCTTTTGTTTCTTATGATGATCTGTCTCCTACATTTCGAGCTTATAGTATGACCTTATCAGATATGCCAGTTCCTCGCTCTGTTTCAGAGGCTATGCGGGAGCCCCAGTGGGTTATTGCCATGCAGACGGAGATGGATACTCTTCAGCGTAATCATACGTGGGATCTTGTCTCTTTACCTTCAGGGGTGAAGCCTGTTGGCTGTCACTGGATTTACACCTTGAAGTTTCTTACAGATGGTACTATTGATCGTCACAAGGCTAGGCTTGTGGCAAAGGGCTTTACTCAGGTACTAGGTCATGATTTTGGTGCTACATTTGCCCCTGTGACAAAATTGACTGTTGTTCGATTGATTATTTCTTTGGCTGTGGAGTACTCTTGGCCCCTTCATCAGTTAGATGTGAAGAATGCATTTCTTCACGGTAATCTGGACGAGATTATTTATATGGATGCACCACCGGGCTTTCGTGGTGAGGGGGAGTATGCTAGAAAGGTATGTCGATTGTGTAAGTCTCTTTATGGACTGAAACAGTCACCACAAGTCTAGTTCTTTCGCTTTAGTGATGTAGTCGTACGATTGGGGTTCATCAGATGTCATTCTGATCATATTTGTTTTATTTGACGGAATACTTCTGGACAGTGTGTCATCCTTATAGTATATGTTGATGATATTATTATTACTGGTGATGATATTTCTAGGATTACGCAGGTCAAGGTAGACCTTAGGAAGGCCTTTGACGTGAAGGACTTTGGATTTCTGCGATACTTTCTTGGGATTGAGGTTGCTAGTAGCAGCAGGAGTGTTATTCTTTCTCAGAGAAAGTATGTTCTGGATCTTCTTTCAGACACTAAGATGTTGGGGTGCAAATCGACATCATCACCCATGATTTTAAACCTGAAGCTTACTACTGAAGGTGAGGAGTTGAAAGATCCGACAGTCTATCAGAGGTTGGTAGGTAAACTTATCTACTTAGCCAACACTAGGCCAGACATTTTATTCGCAGTCAGCAGAGTTAGTCAGTTCATACACTGGCCGTGTCAGCCTCATTTTGATGCAGTTTATCATATTCTTCAGTACTTTAAGTCTTGTCCTGCACTTGAGTTGTTCTATGCATCAGGATCTCAGACTAGTTTTCTAGTCTGTTATTCAGATTCAGATTATAGGAGAGCATGTGACGGTCGATCTACTACGGGTTTCTGTACTTTTCGAGGGACTCATCTTATCTCTTGGAAGAGCAAGAAGCAGGTAGTTGTCTCTCGCTCGTCAGCAAAGGCAGAGTATCGGTCACTGGCACTTAGCACGTGTGAGATTATCTGGCTACGATCGATTCTTGGCGAGTTGGGATTTCCAGAGACTTCTCCATCCATATTATATTGTGATAATCGATCTGCTATTCAGCTCGCTTCCGACTCTGTACTACATGAGAGGACGAAGCATATAGAGATTGATGTTTACTTTCTTCGGGAGAAGGTTAGTTGTGGTATTGTCACTCCATTGTTTGTGGAAACTAGTGATCAGGTTGTGAATATTTTCACCAAACCTGTCACTCTATCCATTCTTCAAGACTCAGTTGTCAAGCTTGACTTAGTTGATATTTTTGCGCTTAGCTTGAGGGGGAGTGTTGGAGTTATAACCTAGATTATTAGGATTTCTTTTCCCTTTTTTATCCTTACTATGACTTCTATATTTTGCCTAGACCACAAGGATGTTTAGGTCACTTTGTATTATTATTTGGTTATATATACGGGCCCTACTCTTAATTTGAGTATCCCTTTTACTCACATTTATCTCAAGTGTTAATTATGTGATTAAACTTGCTATTGTTGACTTGATATTTTAGGAAGTGGATAGGTACTTTGATCTTGCAAATGTTATGGAAAAAGCGGGATATCTTGGTTTATACAAGGTTCATTTTCTTTGTTTATTTAATCTATCTTTTCAGATGCATGTCATCTACAACTAGTTGGGAATTATTCTGGAAGAATTCTAAATATGGTCTTTGCCATGTTAGAGGCGAACTGGAGATACTGTTGATGGTTGTGCTATGTTCTGGAAAGCTGATAAGTAAAAGTTTGGCAGTATAGTTTTTATTTTTTGCTAGTGTTAATTGGAATGGTTAGTCTGTTTTAAATTCAAAGACATTTTCTTCGCTGTTCCAGATTTCAGCTGCTAGAGGCAGAGAGCATTGAATTTAAGCAATATGGTCTTCGTGACAATGTCGCTCAACTCTCTGTTTTCGAGGTAGTGATCCATAGACAACCACACATATTTTATTTGGTTAAATGATAAGTTAAATCTATGTAATACATCCATACAGCTCTCAATAATATTAAGAAATTTATTCCTGTAAATTTTGATCCCTAACCCAGGTGATGAGGGCTGCCATAAGGTCCATTATAACGTTTGTACATATATTTGTTATACCACAATAAGTTTGAGGAAACTCTTGTTCATAAACAGTAGGTCTTCATAAATCCAACTTATTCCTTAGAAAATATATAATATTTAAAATATTGTCATAGTCATGAGTTTTAAGTGAAAGAAACTAAACATATATTGCACAAAGGTTACTGCCATATCTACAAGCAATCACTTTGGTCACCTCAGAAGTGACTCTCTCAGGGCCACCACTAGTTACATAAATATAATCATACTATCAAAGGGAGTTCATTTCTGTGTTTATATGGACCCATTGTTTGTGGAGGTTGAAAGTGATGGATAATATACTGGTATGTTAATTTTACTTGGGTCTATCATTTGGTAAATACATCTATATGAATACAATGAAAGCATATATCATGAATTTTTCATAGGATGGCCTTACCACTCTGTTGCTGCCTAGACTGCTGTTGAACTGCCCATGGCTCTGTTAATTTGTATCTCTTTACGAGTTGGACAGCAGTACCTTGAAAGGTTATTAACGTTCTATAGCCATCTACGCATGTTTGTTGTTTTATAAGCAGTTTGTTATCAGACTCGCTATTGTTTCCACATCTTAATTCACTTACTACAGGCAGATGCTTAAAGCTGACTCAAAAAGGCTGGTGGTTGGGAACATTCACGTGCTCTATAACCCGAGACGAGGGGATGTCAAACTAGGCCAAGTAAGTTGTTATAGCAATGCTTTGCATGACCTGACAATAAGCATGTTCTTATGGTTTCTTTTAAAAGTTCGATGCCTTTGCTTTCACTTTCATTTTCTTAACTATGCTTGTTGGAATGAAATCAATGTGAAAGAGTTAACGTGGTATCCTCCCATAAATTATTTGATTTGGTGATTGCATAATGTGTGGAAAGAATTTGTAATTGAATTATTACCTTACTAGAAATATATATTCACTAAAGGTAAGATATTGGAATGAACAGCATAAGAAAAATATTCCAGACACATAATGGTTACTGCTCGTACTTTTTTCTGAAAGGAAGTTTCTTCTTCTGCTCATGTGCTTCCGTATCTTTTTCAGATTCGTTTCTTCTCATCAAGAGCACACAGTCTCTCTGAAAAATGGGGCAATGTATCCGTTGTGCTTGCAGGAGATTATAACAGCACTCCTCAGGTCTGAAATCTAAAACTCATCGTTATATATGGTTTACATTGTCTTTGTTGGATGTGGTTCCTGGTATAATAACTATTCAGTAATTCTGTTCCTTGACAGAGTGCAATTTACAAATTCTTGTCGTCATCTAAGGTATTAAAATCTTGTCCATATAATCCCATATGGTGCCAACGCGTCATTGACTGTTATTAGGTCATTGATCAAATTGCAGAATCCTTACTTCATATTGTTTATGGCATTGCAGCTGAACATTATGCTACATGACAGAAGAGATTTGTCTGGTCAGAGAAGCTGCCGTCCTACTCAAGTTCTAGGTCTCAAAAGAGAAAAGAACAGTCTGTTTGTTTTGATGGACAGGTACATCAGTTTTGATCAGTTCCTCTTGGACATAAAGATTTGCAGATTCCATAATCAGGGCCCAAATACTGGTTCTTAGTAATGACTTTTCTATCATTTAGTGATTTTTTTCTCTATCACAGATATTTTTACATGTTTGTACGTCTCTAAATAACTAATTAGTGATTTTTCTGAATACTGTTAGTCAAGAAGCTATGAAATTAGTTGCTTTCTGAACCATTTGTTTTTTAATAGAATCTGTTAATTTTTTTTTAATTATTAGAGGGCTGCTTTATGTTTTTTTGAGGTAATAACAAATTATGATGCTTACTTAGTAATGATTATCTCTGTTAACAACAAAACATACAGAGCAAATGTCACCGCAAAAAAAAATCTCGGAAGGGTGCCAGGTGGTAAACTAGTACTCTTCACAGATAGTTACAATTTATGTTTTCTTACAAAATCACAATAAACAGCTCTCTATGTCATTTGCAAAAGCATGAATTGGGTAGCTGCCAGGTTTGAGATACTTGTCTGTTAGCTGGGTTCTCCGTGATCTCGAGAGACATAGGCATGCTTCTGTTGCCTCATTCATGAAGATCCTGTAGTTCCTTTCTGACCATAAACTGTGTATACTGAGACTGAAGACAAATTTTCTTGATAATTGATAATTATTGGTAGTTGTTTACCTTTCCATCTGGTGGCAGCCCATTCAATTACGCCTTGCCATATCATCTGTTGCCAATGTAGATTGCATTTTTTCGTGATGAATCTCTAGACTCTTTCTGATATGTGGCATTGAAAGAACAAGTCCAAATTCTTATTGTAATGCTGCATTCTGTCCTTGGTATTTAGGCTGGCCATAGTTGTCGTTAATATGTTTCCTCCTATCATATGCACTGGATCGATTTCTTCTTCCTCTTTATGCGACCGCTGGCCATCCAAAACCGTTCACAAACATCATGATACTTTTTTGAGCTTATGTAGTTCATGTGCAATTGATGCCATATCCATTGGGCAATGGAATCTTGGCAAATAGTAAATTTGAACCTTCTTCTGGAACTGTGAACATATTAGTTCTTAAAATAAATGTGTTGTTTTGGTATTCTTAGGGGGGCTATTCTATTCTATTTAAATATGTTTATAAGATCCTTTTTTAATTTCCTAGTCAACAATTAGTGAAAGATTGTTATTTTTAATTTTAATGGTGAGAAAGCCTATCCTGTCTCAAAAAGCTCACACTTGAAGCCAAATTCCTTGGTTTATTCTAGAGAGGTTTCTTGCTCGGCTAATATACTTGCGCACTTAAGTCAGAAGTTATGCATATTAGCATATATGCTATCTTTTCCTTTGGTGGCATATATCCTATTTAATTTTTTGGTGGCAACAACAAAACTTATTTGCTTGACTAACATTTTAGAAAATACGAATGTTACATACTTGGATGAACTTTTTTCAGGTTTTTTAAATATTGCTGGACTGATGAAGAGGTTAAAGTTGCTGCTGGCAGTCCTGGGTGCCGAATAGTTATGCACCCATTAAAGCTTAACAGCTCCTATGCCACGGTGAAGGTATTGGGACTCCCTGTTGGATCTAAGGCAAGTTCACTTTCCCCGTCTCCTGTATACTAAGTGGGGTGTTTTAATTTGCATTCTTTTAGGGGTCTACAAGAACAAGAAGTCCTGATGGTGAACCTTTAGCCACTTCCTACCACTCAAAATTTCTTGGAACTGTTGACTATTTGTGGTAAATTATTTTATTGAATGTTCTAATAGCAGTTTCCACTATTTCTGCTGGTGGTGGTAGTGGGGGAGTGATTAAAGCAAAACAAACTTGTGTTTTCTTAATTTAGGTATTCTCATGGTCTTTTACCTACCAGAGTTTTGGAGACAGTCACAATTGATGTCCTCAGCAAAACAGGTGGTCTTCCATGCAAGGTAAAAAAACCTCTTCGCTCAGCTATGATCTATCTGATGGTGTTCATTTTGAAACTTAACTAAGTGTGAGAAAATTTAGTGACAGGCATAAGGTGAGCTTGGGGTTTTTCTCTTGTTGCATAAACTAAATTTTCTCGTAAATTATCTGGGAGATACATAATTACTCATTGAAGATTCTGGTAATCTTGACAAATAGATGTTGATACCTTTCATTTATCTTTGCTTTTCCTATGACTAGTAATGCACGGCGTGCGCGTAAACATATTTAAATAATATTTTTTTTATGCAAATTTTAAATTGTATTTGTAATTAAATTAAATAATAAATTAAATGTCGAATAATTAATTCTATTTAATTATTGCTAAACCCAATTATTAATCTATTCAACTACTCTTTGAGTAATTAATCTGTCATTTTTTCAAGTACTTCCCGTCTCTTTAGGCATTCCTCATTTGTTTATAATGAATCTTTATTATAAGATTGTCATTCTTTATTATTTGCACATCTAATTATATTATAGATTTATTATATTTTTTTATAAAACAAATTGATTAGATTGTAATACTATTGTTTGTATTATAATATTATGATATTGTTGCATACCAAAAAATTAAATAGGACATATATTTGATTGTAAAATTCAATCTGGCAACTACATGTATGTAACAATAGAATATAGATTATACTTTACTTCTTTATATAAATATACTACTAATAAATGAGTCAAAAACAATTTAAAAGTCAAATACTACTAATAAAAAAGTCCAAAAGAGATTGGAGGCATAATAGATATAGAAAATACAATTGAATGAAAATAAATGTGTGTATAATTGACTTTATAAGAACAATTAGGGGTCGGCATAAAAAAAAAAAAAGGAATAATTAGGGGTAAAATAGTTGTCAAAAGTTTTTCACAGATGCTGACATTTATAAGTAATATAGATATGGATGTAAGAGGTAGTACAAAATCAAATTTCTTGAATACCTCTTGCAATATCACAGTCAAGCAAAGGAAACTTCGCTGTCTCCTAGATGATAACATTTAATCTTTGTGGAAGCAAGTGGCTAGAAGTCTTACTAAAGTAGAAAACTGGGCAAGTTGGGAGTGAAAAGATATTTTGGATAGTCATAGGCTGGTTTCATCCGAATGCAGAGCATTTTAGATTAGTTGTATATGTTTGGATGCCGTTGAGCTTGTGATATGACGCAAGAACTTTATAATAACCGTCTCATATTCTCGGAATTAAAGTATAACTGCTCAAAACTGTCTCTTAAAGGCATAGGTCAGATAAGGTGTTTTGGGCATACCTTTTCTTTCCTCCAAATATGATTTTCATCCAAATGTACATTTTTTCTGCAATGTGTATATCTTAACTCCAAGTTTAGGATAACAGTCTTGACATACATTAGCTTCCAAATCTCATAAATTTTTCAATAATTATATTAAGAAATTTTAGTGTAATTTGTCCAAGGGTTGGCCAAATTACTTTTATTCTTGTGGAATTTCACCTATGCACATTGGGCTTTTACTGTCTCCGTGTATATATTCAATATTTTTATGTCATGAACCTGCAGAAATTGGGCAGTGATCACTTGGCCTTGGTTTCTGAGTTTGCCTTCATGCCAGGCACCAAAGAAGACAACAAAATCAGCGCCATAACAACCTTGGCAACATTGTCTGCTCTGGCCTCCCCACCACCTGAGGAAGACGATGACTCTTTTGTTTAATGGCTTGGTGTTACTGCAACATAATAATTTTGAGGTGGGTATTGGAGACTTCTGCAAATTGAAGTTCATATCAGCCAAAGCATGTGGAGCATAATAGAAGTACACCAGTTCATGATCCTTGCATTTCATATGTTTATGGCACTAACAAGGCCCAAATTTAAGCTTTCCAGCTCTGGCATGTTGCTTGAATTGATTTCCACTGTGTAAATCTCCCTCAACCTCCCTCCCCATTGCCCTGAATTGCATGAAGGGTGTTGTGTGGTTTTGGATGCATGTTGACATTAATAAGAGGGATCCAAATTTCTTTGTCGTTCCCATGGAAACGATACAACTGAAATGATCAGCTATACAAAAAGCCCATGTTTTGAAATGTTAATGTTTCACGACATTTTCCAAACTTTCGGAAAGGTTTCAGTTTTAAAACTAACCACAATTACGTAATGAAAATGATATTCTGATCATTGATTAATAAAATATTCCTGTGTGTAAATTGGTCTGAATTTGGTCGATGTTAATGAGCTATGAGGATTTGGATTTCTTGATCATATGCTAGGAGTACTAGAAATGTGCGACGGTCACATAAATAAATTTAAATAATATTATTTTTATAAAAAAATTAAATTATGTGTAATTAAATTAAATAATAAATTAGGTATCCAATAATTAACCCTTATTTTAATTATTACTAAATTTAATTATTGATTTATTTTATAAGTTTTTGAATAACTAATTTGTCATTTATTTAGGTATCTCTTCGATCTTGTTAGGAATTTGTACATCTAATTATATTATAAAATTATTTATTTTTATTTTTTTAAATAAATTGATTAAATTGCTTGTAATAAATATTATATTATTGTATACCAAAAAATAAAATCTAACATATATTTAACCGTAGAATTCAACTTGATAACTACATGTGTATAATAATTTAACATATATAGGACTTTATTTATTTATATAGATATAGATAATTGTATATAACTGCACTACTAATAAATGAGTTCAAAAGAATTTAGAAGTGCTTATAAAAGAGTCAAAAACAACTTGAAAGTCAAGTAGTGTAAAAAATAAAAATTAAATAAAAGTATATAGGTGGATATAACTGACTTTATCATAATAATTATGGATAATATGTGTATATTAATTTAAAATATATGAGACTTTGCTTTTTCATATAAATATAGATAGTTGTATGAAATTGTACTACTAATAAATAAGTTCACAAAAATTTAGAAATCCTTATAAAAAAAGTCCAAAATAAGTTGAAAGTCAAATACATATAAAAAAAATTAGATGAAAGTATATAAGTGGGTATAATTGATTTTATTACAATAATTAGGGATAAAATAGGAAATCAAAATTTTTTCATAGATGTTGATATTTATAAATAGTATAGATTTTGAAGCACACATATATGGTTGTTTGTATTCCAATGCAAGAAAGGTTTTGATATAATGTTACATGCACATTTTTTGAAAAACTTGCTAAAGAAATGAAAATAAACTTGAAATGGCGAAAGCCCACATCGGGAGAGGTAGAAATATCAGGGGAATAATTTCATACAAAAAGTAATTATCTCGTACGGACGGAGAGTATGGTGAAGAAGCCTCGTGGAACCTGCAAAATAAGAGAACATCTAAGTGAACTGATAGCCAGAGGCAGTCAAAGGACTTCGATACTTAAGTTAGATCACAAGTCAAAGAGAAATTATGAGTGAATAGGCTAGGATTCAATTCCTTACCTGGTATACGGGGCCTTTATTTATAACGGCAGGGAGATGTGTCTCAACGAAACCCAATCTCTTGATTGATTGGCTCAACCCCGTCACTAGGTTCTAGAAGTTTGGAGTAGAGTTAGACTAGGACTCTTAATCCTCGATCTTTATCCTTAGCTCTTGGTTATTCAGAGTGGTATCATACTAGGATGTCGGGTCCTAGGTTGTAGGATGAGATATACCTACCAAGAGGCTTGGTTGATCTTACCAATAACCCCTTGATATTCGGAGTAGAGTTTTGATAGGATTCTAGGTTCCTCATCGAGTAGGAATCATCCACAGTTGCTTTGGGGGCCAAGCGTGGACGAGGGATGACCTATCTAAGCCATTTGTCTGCTAGTAATGGCTTGGCAAGCCCATTTGCTAACTGACAGTAGTCAGACAAGCCAGTTACCGAACTACTTGCCAACTAGTAGTAGCGAGACTTGTAAAACTCGAGAAAAATTTGAACTTTTTTCAATAAAGGGTAAAATGGTAATTTGTTACTATAATACAGAATTAAGATACACATTTATCTAGACCTTGGATGAGGAAACAGACTTCTCCATTGGACTCGTATTGCGAAAATTAGTTACCCTGCCAAATTTCGTCGAATTTCGAGATAGTCGAATTTTTACACGTAATTCGAGGCAGCTGGGTGGTAGATGACCTCACGAATGTCCCCATAAATAAATTTTATAAAATTTTTTTATAATTGGATTAAATTTCAAATAAAATTAATTTGAACTTAAATCGGGATGTAATGAATCATTTCGGGATGAAAAGCGGACCTGGAAATAGAAAAACGTGTGGCGCGACGTGCACCGCACATTCGGGATTATGAATATCGACCTAAATCAGATATTTTGGGGGAGATATTTCATTTGTTCAGCACACCAAACGTGTGAGGAGAGAGGAGAGAGAAAAGAGAAGAAAAAATCAAGATCTTCAAGCTTCACCCTTCGATTCTCGGAGTTCTGTCGCTTGAATCAACTCGAGCCAAGAGCTAAAGTCGATCATGTCGACGAGGGCTACGTCTACGTACCAAGAAAAGTAAATTTCATCGAAGATCCAAGAGGGGACTTTGGATAAATAAAAGGTTCTTGGGCTTTGGTTGGTGTTCTTGGAAGTTCTACTACTTCCTACACGCTACAAGAGGTAGGGTTCTTCCTACTTTGGTTTTATTCCTACCATTTTGGGCTGATTTAAGGGGCTGTTATGTGATTGTTTAGGGACTGTTTTTGTGGTTGTTTAGGGACTATTAAGGGGCTGAAATTGTGGGCAATTAAGGGGCTGAAATTGTGGCTGTTTTGGATTGAAATTATGGACTGTTTTAGGGATTGTTAAGGAGCTGAAATTGTAGGCTGTTGGGGCTGAAATTGTGACTATTTTGGATTAAAATTGTGGACTGTTTTATGGCTTGTCTAGGGGCTGTTTTGTGGCTTGTTTATGGGTTGTTTTATGGCCTGTTTAAGGGCTGTTTTGATGGCCTGTTTTGGGGCTGCTATGTGACATGTTTAGGGGTTGTTTTGTGGCTGCTATGTTGCCTGTCTTAGGGCTGTTGTGTGGCCTAGTTAGGGGCTGTTTTATGGCCTATTTTGTGGCCGTTATGTGGCTTGTTTAGGGGCTATTATGTGGGTTATTTTGTGGGCATGTTATATGTTTACATTATGCCTTGAGAATTAAGTGTATTATTGCTTGATTATGTAATGACATGCTTGGTTGATGTGGTTAGATAAAATGTCGATATGTGCTTATTACTATATTGACATTGTGAGGAATAATATGAATTATACGTTTGTGATATAATTTTCCATGGGACATGTGGAATCATCATCTAATGGTTTATATGACATTCATAGCATGTTGGACATGACATTGACATGCAATGATACATTACATTGCATATGCACGGAGACATCGTATTCCATGGGTGTGAGTGCATGGTCGAAAGCAAACACCACATTTGGTGATTGATAAGTGGGCTCGGTATCGTTGGACCAAGGTTCAACAGAGTCGCACGGTTGCATGAAATAAAAAACTTGTATCGGGTATAACAAGAAGGGATAGATCCCCTCACGGGTGCAAGACCCGGTTATTGGTTTATACACTTTCGACGGTGTAAGTCCCAAAAAAAAGTGTATCGGTGTGTGGAGCCGGCGGTGCAACACCAAAAGTCCACTACCCAAATAAAGACACATGATTTTTGATTATATAAAGGATTCATTTGATGGAAAACATCCAGAAATGAATTGGTTTTTATGAACATATGATTTTGTTTTCAAAATGATTTTTGGATGTATTTTATCAAAGAAATGTTTTACACTTGCATTGCATAGTGTGGCGAGAGCCGGTGAAAGCTTGGTTTAAGGTGCGTGAGTGAATCTCATTTTATCTCGTTTCATAGCATGACATGGTAGAATTCCAATCTGGAATTGCATATTTTTACTTGGAATGTTGATGTGAATATGAATATTTGAATGTTAACATTGCACGTGCACTTAGGTGGGGATAGCCTATATAGGAATTACTCTACTGGACGTGGCTCACCCTATATAGGAAAACCATTTCAGGTGCGGGATATACGCCGATGGACGGCTCTCATTCGGGGCCACAAGGGTGAAGAAAATCGACTTGTGGCTTTTATAACTCTTTTTGTAAAACTTTTGGAGTAAACTAGTTTTGACATGTAATTTTATGTAAGAGGGGTGTAATTGAACTTATATGGACTGTTTTTAATATAACCTTGCATGTTTTTATATGAGTATGGATGAATGGACCCAGTGTGGTCAATTTTTACTCATAAATGGACCTGATGCGGTCATTGTGTTATATCGGGCCTCGAATGGGTCATGTTAATGTATATTGTACATGTTAAGTTTTGGGTAGAGCTCCCCGTACAAAGGAGACTCTGCCCAATTATTGTTAAATTATGGATTCCGATAAATGGGACACAACAGTGTGGCATCGAGTTATATGATATCCATAGGTATTCCACGGGTTGATGGGTGATCAACGAACACCCAAATTTTAGGGTGTCACAAGCCCAGTAACGTGCCGATTAGCAGTAGCAAGCCTCTTGGCTTTGCCGACTAGCATGTGCAAGCCTCATGGCTCGAGTTCTCTAAGCCTCGTAATTGAGCCTCATACCTCAATTAACCAATTTTCTTTAATTGAGGTATGTGTTTGAAGATTAGATACCTCATGGGCCCAACTCATTGGTAACAGGCTTATTTTACCTAGAAAACTATGTTTTTAATTGCTTAAGTAGCTTAGAGCATTAAATTCCCTTCCTCATTTCTTCAATGCTCATTTTGATTTGGAGTTTGGATAGTGAAAAGAGAGGAGAAACATTCATTGTTGCTTGGCGCTAATTGTACGGGGGAATGACTTACTTTGCTCATAAGCTAGTCGAGCGATAAGAGTTGCTCGAGAGTTAAGCCGAGTTTAATATGATCAGGATAAACATGATTGAGAAGCAACTTAAGGATTCCAAAGTGGAGAATGCCTTCTTAAAGAATAAGGTTATTGAGGTAGAGACTCACGCTACCAAGCTTCAAGAGGAACTTGCTAAGGTTAAGAGAGA